AGTGGCTGCCACCCGCACGACCAACCAGGGCCGGGGACAAACTGCAACCGAGGTACGTGCCCTTAGCGGGAACCGAACCCGGGTCTCTCTGGACTGCAGGCTGAAGCTCTAACCGCTGAGCCAAACTGGCCAGGGCTGGCTCCCTAACATTTACAGCAGGTACACTGAATGCAAATCTTTCACAATCCTCAGGATGCAAGGGCATGGTAAGAAAAAACAGTCTTTTAAATCTAAGTTAATTAATTCAAATTCTAGAGGAATGGCTGTAGGTGATGGCAGCCCAGGCTATAGTGGGCCCATGATCTCCATAGTTTGGTTAATAGCTCTTAAATCTTGTAGTAACCTCCATTTTTTATTTATTTTTTACAACAGTAATGGGAGTATTTCAAGGGCTGTTACTTGGCTTGATCTGACCTGCTTCCAATTACCCCTGTACCAACAATTGTGCTGCCTGCAACTTCTCTCCTGCTAGGGGTCATTAATAAACCCATACTGCCTTATCACATAGCCAAGGAATTTTGGCAGCAGTCTTTTGGGCTGGAGATATGACCAAGGTCCCTAAGGAAAAGGCGAAGGCCCATGAAATCCCAGACCTTGTAGGCCTTTCTGAGTGGAGGCAGGAACAGGAGAAATTCTCCTTTGCTTAGTGTTTCCTCAGCTTTTTCTTTGTCTTGTTTTATTGTTCAAACATTTGTGCTGTGACTACAGAATTAAGGCTTATTAATAGTACCACCATCTATTCCATAATGTCCCATCCCCATACATCAGCAGGCAAATGATCTAAAACAGAGGGTTTAAAAACCCAGTGTTGCCCCAGAATCTTCCCATTTGATAAGCTGTGCAGTTTACTGGGGCCTAAAAACCTTTCTGACTTCTTGTCACTCAGCCATGGAAACTCCAGGGGCCACGTAGCCAGTGCCTGGAGAAATCACTGAGACATTTGCTCCTGTATCTAGGACACCTTTAAACTTTTTTCCATTCAAACTGAGCTCCATTTCTGGGTGACCTTGGGTGCCTAACTGCATCCAATAGACTTGATCTGTAGAATCAAATTCTCCTCCTCCCCCTGAGGTTCTTTTGGTAGCACTTTCCCAGCCACCTGATGTGGCAAAATTACAATTTATTCTGTCCAGTTTCAGGTAAAACTTTTACAAGGGTATTAGTGGTTAGGGTCTGATTATTTCCCCCAAATAATCAGAATCAGTAACTCCAGGCAACACTTGGATCCTGTTCACAGTGAGACTGCTCATTCCCATAATCAAACCCACTGTTCCATTAGGTAGTGGCCCATAGACCCCTGTTGGAATCACTTGCGGCCCCATCTCTGGTGTTAATATGTATCAGGTGGTGGGGCAGAGGTCCAGTCCTGTACTCAATGAGGTGATGCGGTAGAGATCCCGGATTGTAGTCCTGGACTCCATGCTGGTTGGAACACCTGAGCAGGAGTGACAGCACTGCCCCCACTGTTTGACGGGCTGGGGCTGGCCCTGCTTCCCATTTTCCTGCCAGGGTTCAAGTGGTTGTCCATTAACATCAGTTTAAGAATGGCAATTCTCGACCCAATGATGTCCCTTGCAGCAGTGAGGACATAGTCCTGGCTGCTTGGCAGAGTTCCCTGACTAGTTGTTGGCACTACCATACTGCTTACACCCCTCAGCAAAATGTCCTATCTTTCCACAAGTATAACATCCTTTCTTGTTTTCTCCTGCCTCACCAGCAAAGAGGACTTCCTTCAAAGCCGCAGATATCTCGGACCCCTGTATATGGGAAGACCCAATATCTGAACAGGTGCGAATGAATTCAGATATATTAGATTTTTTACAGTAAGGGCATAGCAGGGCTTATTAGCATTTTCACAGGGAAACTGCTATACTAACAATGTGCCAGCCTCTGAATCATTTATCACTACACCAACTGCCTGTAGTAACTGAGCCACAAAATCTTGATATGGCTCTTCAGGTCTTTATCTAATGGATGTAAAATCTAGCAAATTTTCTCCTTATGTTGGGAGCTCTTTCCAGGCCTGCATAGCACAAACATTAATCAGCTGATGGTGAAGACCTAATATTGCTCTGTACCCATGAGCATTTCCAAAGAGGTGGGCACTCTCTGTGTTGATTCTATGTGGCCTGCTCACCACTAATCTCCATCCAGCTGGTCTCCCACATCAGCTAGTCCCAAGGCTTAAGGCAAACTTTTGCTAATGTGTGCCAATCACCTGAGGCTAAGGCTTCACTAGCATCATTCGCCAATAAACTGAGCACAAAAGGAGCTGTGGCCCATACATAGTACAAGAAGACTTGAGATCTTTCAATGTCTTACATAGGATGCGCTAATGCATTTTTAATGCCTGACCTGGATTGTTCGGGTCAGGCTGCTCTATCACTGGGAATAATGAAAACCCAGTGGTGTCCTCTCTGGCTCGTCTTGCCTCTCTTAGTCCCATCTGTAAGGGAGAGAGCATAGGGGTGCTAGAGGGTTTCCCTACTTCGGGCCAAGCCCCTGCATCCCCTCAGGATGGTCGAGAGGTAAGAGCCAATTCTGCAAAACTTTGGGTAACATTAGAGTCCTCGTCTGAATCTTCCTTGGCACGGTGCCACCAGTCTTGCTCCGCCTCTCTTTCTAGTTCCCTCTCATACTCTGGGGGTGAAGTCTCATGTGGGGGGGTCAACCTCTCCCACAGCTGTAGGTGGAAGAGCAGAGGGCGGTGAGGGGTCTTTCAGGACCCACAGCCTTTCTGGGCTCTCATCAAGTCTCCCACCGCACCTTGCCCCCACCCCGCCGCCTTATCAGCCTTTTGCGCAGGTTCAAGACAATCTCTAATGAGGGACCAAAGAGAAATGTTTGCACCAGAACCCTGTTCAGGCCCTTTGCTGTCTCTCTGCCTCGCAGGCATGTCCCTGCCTTTTCCCAGGTTTTCAAGTTGACTGTCCCCTCATCAGGAAACCAAGGACAAGTTTCACTCACATACTCGAGAAACTCAAGGAGTTTATCTTTTCTTATTCATCCTCGAGCCTTAAGCATAGCCCTTAACATGGTCACGCAGAGATTTCTTCATTTCGAGCTAGAATTCCCCATATTTTATATCTGGCTATCAATAAACTGTGGTCCTTACCTACTGTCATTTCTCAGCGTGCACACTCACGGAGTCTCCTCACCTTGGCTTCGAGTTTCCCCTGTGCTCAGGTCCCTGTTCCAATGCCACTTCCCATGACCTGCACAGCTAGTCCAACCAGACCCAAGGAGAGGCAATGAGAGATTAACCAAGACACGTGTCCAGCCGGTGTGGCTCCGTGCTTGGGCATCAACCCAGGCACCAAGAGGTCGCTGGTTTGATTCCTGGTCAGGGCACATGCCCAGGTTGTGGGCCTGATCCCCAGTGGGGGGCGTGTGGAGGCAGCCAATCAATGTTCTCTTTCATCAATGTTTCTATCTCCTCACTTCCTCTATCTCTAAAATCAAAATGGGGAGAAAAAGGAAGGAAGGAAGGGAGGGAGGGAGGGAGGGAGGGAGGGAAGGGAGGGAGGGAGGGATGGAGGGAAGGAAGGAAGGAAGGAAGGAAGGAAGGAAGGAAGGAAGGAAGGAAGGAAGGGACATAAAAGCTGGGGCAGGTGGGACACTGCTCCCTGAAGGAGGAACAGGGACCCGGAGCCAGCTCAGCATGGTTACTATGTAGCAATAATGAAGAGGGGACTTCAAAGCTTCATTATCTTTAGACAACAGATGTTTCCACCAGCCTCTGAGCTCAAGGTCCAGACGCTGAGACATTCTTGCCGGTGGCTAGTAACGGTCCTAGGCGGACCTTGCGAGCAGGATCAACAAGAGACCTTGGCTCAGCCGCCCTCCACAGGAAGGGCTTAGTTCAGCTAGAAGAGGCAAGACCCAGGAGGGCCCTACAGACAGGCTCAGGGGACTAGCCCGGGACAAGCTGCTGCCACCCACTGCTCCCTGGTTGTAAGTCTCATGAAGACCTTCTGAGTAGGAGGGGAAAGCTAATGTAAGAAATAAGGGAAGGGAACACAGAGAAGGGTGCTCAAGGAGCAGTGCACACTGTATCCTTTATCTTAAGGGCTTTACCTGTTTTGTACAGGTGACAATTTTTGATAAGATCTCAGGGGAGAATCTCAATAAAATATACATAGAATTTCCAGGAGGGTCCTTTTGAGGACAGTCTGCAGGCAAAAGATTTGGAGAGAAGGACAAATCCCTGGAGTCCATGGGATTCAGTGACTCTCCTCAGGAGCTGTGTCTGCCCCTGTTGTCCGTCACAGGAGAATGCCTGTCCTGCTAGTCTGCATACAGTCCCTATGCCGTCTCCCCCAGAAACAGGCTAAAGAGGGCGGTGAGGAAGTCCAGGCCTGTGGGGTCAGTGCCGGGAGCCGTCAGGCATGTGTCACATTCATCTGCTCAGGCCCAGTTGGACACCTGCGGGAAGGGGTTCCCTTGGCCATCAGATCAGGTGACAGAGGTCAGAACCCAAGGGACTCCTGTCTCCAACCTCCATTCAGTTCTCTGCAGAACAGAAAGGACAGTGATAGAAGAGAAACAGGGACTATGGTCTCCGGGAAAACAACCTACTGGGTGATCAGGGCTGAGGATGGACGAGTGTTTGCTTTTTCATAGTGTGCCTGTGTTGCTCGGACATTTGCTTGACACCGGCGGGCCACCTAATGCAATCGTGCCTGTTCCAAGATGGGTGTATCCTGTCACGAGAGTCTTTAAGCGGCAGCCGCCCTGGTAGCACTCAAATGGCTGACCCGTGCCCCCAGAAGGTGCCCATAGGGAGACCACAAGTCGTGATTTCGGAGAGAGAACTCAGCTCAGAATCAGCACGACGTTCCCACCAACAGGGATGGGGCTGAGCGCTGCCGAGGAAGCCTGTCCCCTGTGTGACGAAGAACAGCAGCTGCGCCGGTCGCTTTCGAGTGTCTGACAGGGTCCCAATGTTTCCCTCCCAAAATTAAATGAGAGAGAAAAGGCATAGAGACTGTTGCACTTACTGTTCTGTAGAAATCCAGATGAGTCTCCAAAGATGAAACCAAGCAGCAGGGTCCGGATGCGCCGTCTCACAAAACTGGAGAGTTCACAAAGGGTAAGTGAAAGGAAAGTGGATTTAAAGCTACAGACTTCCCACAGCAGGGAGGGGACCACGAGGTTTCCCGTGGGGCTCTGTTGTCTAGGGACAGACATATATTTTGCCAGCCCGTGATTGGTCCTTTCAAGGAATTCTGCCTTAGTAATGTCCACACACTTTAAGCTTGTGGTTTGCCCGACTGGGTTCAGCCCTATGTCATCTGTAGGGGCCTTAGTGGGTTCTCCTCATGATAACTTTAACTTATCCCAGGCTATGAGTGAGCAGGAGGGGAAACATGCTGGGAGCAACCCTGTGCTTCCTTTAGGTTCCCCCAAATCCAGTCTTTGATTTCTACAATCCTTGTTCAGGTGACCTGGCTTTCTGCAGTGGGAACACTCTACTTCCGCAGAGTCATTGAGTAATCCTACTGCCTTGCTCCCAGACATAAGCAGGTATGTTACTTGGAATACGTCAGAATTACCAGCACTGTGTTCTTTAACAGGAAACAAAAATCCTTTGCTAATCCATCAGGTCCCAGATGAAGGAATGGATACAATTGCTGTTCCCCTCTTGTAGGAAGCCAGCCTCGCTGGGGTTTTTGTTACGTGATTAACCTGTACTCTTCCCAGGAACCTCTACTGTGCATTTCTATAAATGCGGGCTGACAGTTTCTGACCTTGAAAACAAAATTTGCCTACTTGATTTTACTTGTATTTTCAGATTTGCAGGCTCCAAATAAACCTCCGGGTATGCTGAGTACTGATTTGCCTGCCTGGGAGCTGAGCCCCAAGTCATATCAGACTCAGCCCTCCCTTCCCACGGCCCCACCCCTCACTGCCGAGCCTGCCTCTGTCTCCTCACTCTGATGCATGAAAAGGAGCATGTCCAGTGGTCAGTGTCGTGCTTTTGTCAGTTTCACCTTCAAGAAAGGTCACCAGAAAGGGACTTGAACCAAGGCTGCTCTTCCCAGGCAAGGTCTGGAATGCTTCCAAGGATCCCTGGGTGGGGAATATAATAGCTTGAAAATCTGCCTATAAATTCCTAGACCTTTTTGAGAGTCTCACGTTTCCCATTCCACTAGACAGGAAATTTTCCGAGGTTTGTAATAACCTGACTCAACGCCATGAACTTGGGGACTCCTATTAGTATTGAATTGAACACAGTGACCTTAGTTGACAGACACTAGATGCCCAACCTAAAATCAGTATCCCGAACACAGACCCTGGATGCCATGACCTGGACCACAAACCAAAACCGGTGCCCCCAGGCCCTGGGCCACAACCTTGAAGCTGTTTCCCAGACCCAAACAGAGCAAGCAGTGCAAAACCCTAAAACAAGAGGCCAGAGACTGTCCCTGTACTCTGAATGCCAGATGCCACACACCAGAAAATGAACCTGTGGCTGTGAATGGACACAATATTCAAACCCGGGACACAAAATGACACCCAAAGACACACCGAACCCCAGACAAACAGCCAGATGAAGGTTTTACCTTCATACACAGATGCTGGACTGCCACCTCTCGGCATGCCAGGGTCGGCGCAATGCAATGAACTACAAGCACATGCTGGTAGGAGTGAGAGGGAGCATTGCAAGGGAGCAAATGCTCCAGATCTCTGAATGCAGCCCAATTTATTTGCAGATTGGTTTCCCAAGTTACATGTGGATTTATGTAAATTATTTCCTTGAGATGGTGTCTCTGCAAACCATACAGCCTAGCCTTGTCTCTCACTTTTTACGGCAGAAAGAGACTTTAAAGCTAAAAAATAACAAACCCAGACATTCTTGAGTCCTACAACTCATTATCCACTCAAGGCAGTGTTCCAGCCATTGTCACGCAAACCTCATCTTAGACACATGCAAACGAAGCATTCATGTTTATCCAAGGTGGTCTTCCTCCCTGTCGTCTCTCCACACACACATACTTTGATCCTAGGCTGCCCAGTTCGCGAGAATGCATATCACAAGGTTACAAATCGTCCATCCACCAACCCCACATCCCCATACTAGACATGGAACACGGACCCAAAACCACAACACCACAGCCACAATCTGATCTTGGAGCCAGACCCCCAGACCTCAGGTGTCAGATGCCAGAGACACAAACGTAACCAAACTCATGATTAACACAAAATCAAAAAAAGGTTTACGTGTAACTCCAAGGAGCTATCTTAACAACAATACTACTTTCAGGTCAATGTAAATGTAGAAGAGAGATAAAAACCTCCCAGAACTTCAGACAGCTACCAAACCCTGCATCAATACATCAAAAAGGGTAACTAAACAGTCTGAGGAATGGGGTAGTCCCAGAGACGCGGAAGTGGGGTACAGACTGGCAATCCCATAAAGAGGGGGGTGGTGGGAGAGAGATAAACCACAGAACTTATATGCATGTATGCATGAACAGTGGACATGGACAACAAACTGGGGAAAGGGCAGGGAGGGAGGAGGAGGGGGGAATCAGTGGGGGGGAAAGGAGAAACATCTGTAACAAAAATTAATTAATAAAAAAAAAGGGGTAACTAAGGGAGCAAAAGAAGACTTACCTGTGTCAGCAGAGGCTCATGATCTGTCAGCATCAGCAGTTTCAGAATTTCCCAGCCATTGATTCCAACACTGAGAGATTTAAAAACAAAGTAATTACTTTTCCTCATACCTTGTCAATTCTAATAGCTGGGCTAATAATAAAATAAACATAATGAGATTAATGGGATATTTTCAACGTTTAACATATACACAAGGGAAACTCATAAATCACCGAAGACAAGGAGGTAATATGGAGCATTTAGGACATTTTGAAAAATAAGAGAACACGGTCCTAGATTATAGAGATGAGATGGGTGATATGCAGTAATTCAGGAGAAGGGCAGCATATGTGACATTTTACCTTCTGTTAGGCAATAGCAACACTGTAGCACAAAGGATTTAAGGCAATGGAGTCAGCAAACCAGTCTAAACGTCTAACCTCAGGGGATGAAGCTCAACCGCACGCTCCCAGCCAGAATCTGCCAACCAGGGCTCCCAGGAAGAATGGTGGACAAGCAGAAGTTTCTTTCTTGACAACCACCCTAAAATAAACACGTCACAGGCAAACCCTCGGCCCTCTTTATTTCCACCTTTGACATTTAAAATAAAAAGTTTGCGCGGTCAAGATGGCAGCGTAGGTAAACGCGGTATCACATCCTCCACAACCACATCGAAGTTACAACTAAACTACAGAACAACCATCATTCAAAACCACCTGAAACTGTGCTGAATGGAAGTCCTACAACTACGGAATTAAAGAAGCAACCAGCCCTGGCCGGTTTGGCTCAGTGGTTGGAGCATCAGCCTGTGGACCAGAGAGTCCCAGGTTCGGTTCCCACTAGGGGCACATACCAAAATAAAATAAAATAAAGAAAGAAGCAGCCACATCAAGACTGGTAGGAGGGTGGAGGCGGACAGGCTGGTCCCACACCCACGGGTGGCGGATAAAAATCAGGAGGATACCTCGGCTGGGAAGGTCCTCCCTAAGGACTGTGGTGTCCCCATCCCACACCAGGCGCCCCGCTCAGGGTTCCAGTGCCAGGAAGAGAATCCCCATAACTTCTGGCTGGAAAAACCAGCAGGAACTGAGGCTCAGGGAGGCCGAGGTGGCTGGAACCTCAGGTAGCTCCTCTTAAAGGGCCTGCGCACAGACTTATCAGACTTGCTCCCTCTAAGCTTGGAGGGGAGGCAGCTTGAGGGGCACCAGAGACATACAGGGAAGAACTGAGCTGTTTGGCACTGGAGCGAGGGCTGGAGAGGGGGCTTTCACCAGGACAAATGTGCTGTCAGAGGCCTTTGTTCCTTTGGTGAGCCCTTCCCTGGGACGGCAGATGCCACCATATCTGGGACTCCAGCAACCTGGCTCACACTGGTTGCCCCGTCCTGATGATTTACTGAGGCCCGCCCCACCCAAATTTCGGGCCCACCCAAGCTGTTGCCAGTTGCTTCACCATAGGACTGGCCTGTCTTAGATCCTGCTTCAGGTTTTCCTAAATTCTTTCAAACAAGCAGCATCTGGTCTGAGATAGCCCCATACCGCTCGTTAAGTAATACACTGAAACAAAACACAGGGAGGCAGCCAAAATGAGGAGACAAAGAAACAGGTCCCAAATGAAAGAACAGAACAAAACCCCAGGGAAAGAACTAAGCGAAATGGAGATAAGCAACCTAACAGATGCTGAGTTCAAAACACTGCTTATAAGGATGCTCAATGAACTTAGTGAGAACCTCAGTGAACTTAGTGAGGGCCTCAAGAGCATTAAGAGGGACCAGTCAGAAATGAAGGATGCACAGTCAGAAACGAAGGAGGCACTAATTGAAATAAAGAATAATTTACACAGATTCAATAGTAGAGTAGGTAAAGCCAAGAAGCAAACCATCGATTTGGAATACAAGGAAGCAAAAAACACCCAATCAGAACAGCAAAAAGAAAAAGGAAGCCAAAAAAATGAGGATAGTGTAAGGAGCCTCTGGGACAACTTCAAGCATGCCAACATTCGCATCTTGGGGGTGCCAGAAGGAGAAGAGAGAGAACAAGAAATCGAAAACCTGTTTGAAACAATAATGGCAGAAAACTTTCCTACCTTGGTGAAGGAAACAGACATACAAGTCCAGGAAGCACAGAGAGTCCCAAACAAGATGAACCCCAAGAGGCCCACACCAAGACACATCATCATCAAAATGCAAAAGGTTCAAGACAAAGAGAGAATCTTAAAAGCAGCAAGAGAAAGGCAGCTAGTTACCTACAAGGGAGTTCCCATAAGACTGTCAGCTGAAACTTTGCTGGCCAGAAGGGAGTGGCAAGAAATATTCAGAGTGATGAAAAGCAAGAACCTACAACCAAGATTACTCTATCCTGCAAAGCTGTCATTTAGAATCGATGGCCATATAAAGCCTTTCCCAAACAAGAAAAAGTTAGAGTTCATCACCACCAAACCTTTAGTATATGAAATGTTGAAGGGTCTTTTTGAAGAAAAAGATAAAATGTATGAACAAACAAAATGGCAATGAATACATATCTAGTGACAATGGAATCTACAAACAAAATGAACAGGCAGAACAGAAACATTCTCATAGATACAAAGAACATTTTGTTTGTTACCAGATAGGAGGGGGTTTGGGGAATGGGTGGAAAAGGTGAAGGAATTAAGAAGAACAAATTGGTTGCTAGACTGACAAACCTCAAAGAGAAGGGGGTTTGGGGGTGGGAAGAAATAAACCAAAGAACTTACATGCATAACCAATGGACACAGACAACAGTGTGGGAAAAGGCGGGAGGGGGGCGGGAGTGGGGAGGAGGGGATCAATGGGGGAAAAATGAGGAACATCTGTAATACATTCAACAATAAGGATAAAAATAAATAAAATAAAGAAAGAAAGAAAAAGAAAAAGAAAAGTTTGCAAACAAAGCATAATTAGTAAACTGCTCCATATTTCGACCACATAATCATTCTGTTGATAATAAATTACTTTTGATAAATTGTTAAATTTTATTACAGGAAATTGTGGCATACGCATACTCTGAAAATTTACTATCAAATACCTCACCAGTTGCTTGAGTGGGAGAGAAACAAACCTCTCTGTAACCTCAGAAATCTTAGGATTAAGATATTGCACAGGTTACGAAGAAAAGACATCTAATACACACATTTAATACAAACATAACTATGATAATCTCACTTGTAAAAGGAATCAGAGATCCTGAGCAGAAGATCAGAAGCAGAACATAAACGTGGATCTACAAAACATTCGGCGTCAGGGATGATACAACCTGCCTGGGGGCCTTCGAAATAAAAGGTACCAATTCCCGCAGGTACAGCCCTAAACGGTGCAATTCCAAACCTGTGCACTAGATGGCAGCAGAGGAAAGGTTTCCCCTCAGGTCTTAGTCCCAAGAAGCAAACCAAAGGCAGTTGAACCCTAGGGGGCATTTGCACATGTTTGCAGGCCCTTGGATTGTCCTCGGGGTGGGGTAAGGGGGTTCTGTCACCTGCATACAGGAAATAGACACAGTGAATGTCAATGAGCACCCACAATGCCGAGAACAGTCCCTCAGGACAAAGCATTGTCGTGCCTAAAAGGTCAATAGCATCCACAAGAAAAACCCTCCTCCGTAGGAACCTTGAGAAGTGGTCGAACACAATGGAGACATTGAGTTGATTTAGACCCCAGACATGAAATTGCGCCTCTGTACAGGCAGCACTGAGGCTGAACCCTGCAGGACAACAAAGCCACCACCCGGCAACACTGGGAGAGAGTCCTGGGCTGAGAGACACCCACCAACACTGTCTCGGGAGACAGAATCGCACCGGTGCACCACAGCGGGACTCATCCATCACTGCCTCTTTCCATGGCCCATGAGTCACTCTCTAATGAAACTGCTTCTGAATGCTCCCTAGAATCAACAGCCTTACTCTTAGATTCCAGAATTAACCATCTTAACTTAGTCTCTTTAAAAATGTGGGCTTTTTTTTTTTTTAATCCTCACCCAAGGACATTTTTGCATTTATCCTCAGATAGAGCTGGAGGGAGAGAGGGAGGAAGAGAGAGAGAAACATCAATGTGAGAGAAACACATCGAGTGGCTGCCACTCATACAACCCCAACCGGAGCCGGGGACAAACCACAACCGAGGTACATGCCCCTAGCGGGAACTTAACCCAGGACTCTCCAGTCCATGGGCTGATGCTCTAACAGCTGAGCCAAACTGGCCAGGGCAAAAATGTGGACATTTTTTAAATGACCCTATTGTACTATGAAAAGCAAGTTTCAACAACCTCAAAGGATTATTTAAATTGTGTTTCTTGATCTTACTGCATTTACTCTAGAACTCAGCAACAAAAGTTAACTAGAAAGTCCTTATATTTAAAATGAAGAATACACTTCTGATTAACCCCCAAAATAAATCACAATGGGAGCCAGAAAAAAAAATTAAAACTGAATGATAATTAGAACACTACAAACCAAAATGTAAAGAATAATGCGCAGCATAAATCACACATCAGGAAAACAGAACAGCTGGAAAGGTCAAAGTTGCACACCCATCTTAAGAACCTAGAGGAGTAAGTTCAAGTCAGAAGCAACTGAAGGAAACATGCTATGTACTTAACATGAAAACAGTTTCGACCTCTTGGGGTGGGATCGTCCATTACTTGTATTTTTATGTATTCTTCAGGGAAGCTACAACAAACAAAGCCATTTTCATTGCAGAAAATAACTAGTGGGGGGAAACATGGGATATTGACCAATTGTAATAACCCCGATCGTCATGGTGACAGCAACCAGAACCTTCTTTGCTCCCCCAGCTCGGTCTCGGGAAAAGTACCTGGAGTTACGTAGCTGATGTCACTCCTCTATTTTGCAGTTCTGATGGAGGGAGCTCCTCACCTTTTGGGTCTAAAACGGGCCTGGGTCTACCTCATACAAACAATGTTCTCTTGGACATGAAGAACCCCCTCGTGTCCTTTGCTTTCTCACTAATAAATCTCTTATTTTCACAGCTCACTACATTTGTTGCTGAAAGACTTGGCTCTGCTACTGGGAACCCGTAACGCTGGACCTCCTCATGCTCATTTAAAGTGGGACCAGAGC